CGCCCCCTGCCGGCCAGGAGTTGCTGCGCGGGGGCCCGAGGGCAGGCGCGCCGCCACCGGAGGCCTTTCCGAGCGTTGCGCGCTCCCCGGGAGCCAACCACGGCACCTACCTCGCAGGGGTCTTTGTGTGAAGATAAAACGGAGAGGAAGAAAGCAGGGCGGATGACCAGGACAGCAACAAGGAAGTGGTGTCAAGTGGGTTCCGACTTCTGGAAACTCTCCCTGGATTCTCTCTGATGTCAAGTGATTCGAAGTGATTTCTCCCTTTCTGGCGGCGTTCTGGTGGGACTCCGGCAGCGCCTCCAAGGAGGCACAGGTGGAAGGGGCACCTCAGCCCATCAGCCACAGACAGGCTGATGATCTCAGTTGCTCCCTCTCCTGAGCAGGCGCTGTGGGGGGTCCAAATATCCAGCCCCAAGCACCCCCACCCACTCAGGTATGGCGCAAACAGCACCACCTTACAGGTTTCAGGAAGGGCTGCCTGGAGGGTCCCTCGAAAGGGGCCAAAGGGGCAGGAGATCTGAAGGGCTGGGTTTCAAGTCAAGAGGTCAAGGTGGTGAACATAAGGAAAGCTTCCTGGGACACAGAGAATAATCAGGACACGGTTCGCTTGGTTACAGGGCACTAACACGGCGAGGCACGTCTCCTTCTGGCTCAGGTGGAGCCTCTCCAACGGGCACAGGTCCAGCTGCTCCCAAATGTCCCCCTGTGCCCAACAACTTTCAAGGCCACCCATCCCCACCCACCCACTGCCCACTCCCTTTTCCGAGAAAGGCCACTGAACAAGGCCAAGCTTTCGAGGGCCTTCCTCGCAAGCCGAATGAGGGTTCCAGGGACATGAGCCACCCTTTCCTGCTGCAGCGCACACCGTTCCAGCAGTACAACCTGGATGAGGCTTCCCATTTCCAACCTTCCGATGCAGCAGGCACAGACCCAGCCTGGTTTCCAATGGCCCCACCTCCATGATCACATCCTGCAGCACATTCTCTAGGAGAGTCGACACCAGTTCTTTGCCCCACAAGGATGGTGACCTTCTTAGTCACAGTTTCACTTTCTTAGAGTGATGTCCTCTGTCCCACAACTGCAGAGGTGCAATCATTCTGGGATTTAGTCACTACACCCACACACCCACATCTGTTAAGGCCCTGTTCCCTCCTCCTCCTCTCCAGCTTCTTCAAGGCAGCCTCTCTGACCCATCAATCACAGTGACAGATAATCTCTCCCTCTTATCACAATACACCCACAACAAAAAACACGCTGATTACCACAATCACCCATTTCCTGAAAAGGACAAAAGCTGATCCCACAGCTATAAATACTCAACTATCCAAACAAACTGCACCAAAGCACAGACAGAGGTCTAATTCCTTTCCTCTGAAGGTGCCGGCCACAGAGACTGGCGAAATGTTAGGAAGGACAACCTTCAGAACAGGGCCAAAGAGCCTGAAAAACCCACAACAACCATCAGATTCTTCTTCTACTGTTTGGCCAGATGGGGCATCACCACCACCCTGCAAACCAATCTCAGCCAATGAGTGAGCTTGGGCCACTCATTATGTCTTGGGATCATTCAAAGGAGAAAATCGGTTAGGAAACTAGGTATTGGCCCTGCCTCTTGTAATCTCACCATGTGGTGGGCTTGGATCATCCTTGAAATGTATGTGGTTTTTAAAAAGTGAATGAAAAGCTCATCTCCTAACATTGAATTCATGGCTAATTGTACATTTGTGAGCTGCTGTCAAGGGCTAAAGCACTGAGCATACACTCAAGGTGAATGGAAAATTAAACCTGGTTTTTCCACATTAGTTGCATGTCCACTGTGGCCCATGGAGAGCGAGGCATTTCCCTAACCGCTCCTAACCCAGACAGAGTCTATGACCCTGGAGGGTGTTCTTTGCAGTTGTTTGGGTTTTCCCCAAGAGTTTGGAGAAATGGCTTTTTATAGACTACATCACGGGCTGTGACTACACTGGCTGGTGCTTCTGGAAGCTCTAATCCCAAAAGAAACTCACCCCCCAACACACACACACACACACACCCCCACACAAACACACAGAGAGAGCGAGAGAGAGA